CTCTCTCTCTCTCTCTCTCTCTCTCTCTCTCTCTCTCTCTCTCTCTCTCTCTCTCTCTCTCTCTCTCTCCCCGATACTAACCTGTGAAGGTGGCGTCTTGCTGCAGGAGCTATGGCGCCGCAGGTGAGTATCCCTGGCCTCGGCCAACCATCTCTCTCTCTCTCTCCTACTAGCGCCCAGTGCTGAAGACTACTGCTATCGCTACCCCTCCAGAGTGCCGCTGCTGAGTCCTGAAGACTACCTCCTGCCTTCTGCACGTGAAGTGCCTAGGAACTGCCTGCAGCCTGCAGGGTGGGTCAGCATTATATAGTGCTGGCCCGTCCGAGAGGCTGCTCGTGCCTATGCCAAAACGTGCCAGACCCTGGGGTTGACGCTCCAGAAAATAGGCCTTAAAGGCCTGAGCTAAAACCCCGGTCTGGTGCCTGAGTTTCAGGGTAGGTCGATCTTGCGAGGGCCTGAAAATGGCCCGTCGTTTTCAGGCTGGAGGCCGAAACGACACAGGGCCTGAAACAGGCCCTACCCCTACGGACCCTTAGTCCACCAGGTCGGGCTCTGCTGGGCCCGTGTGTTACGGAGTATGCCACAGAGAGAGAGAGCTTGGTGACATTTGGATCCAGACTCGACGTTGGACTTCAGACATTTTGAAGAGGGATTATTTGGGACTTGTAACAAGACTTGGTGTTGACGACTTCCCCATCTCCCCCTTCCTCTTCTTCGTCTGATCCCCTCCTCTTCGTCTGTGTATGTCTGGACCTGGCGCTTCCTTCCTGTGTATAGCGCCAGGCCCCTTCACACCTTGTGATGAGCATGATGTATGTTTGGTCTGCGTTGAAACATTGATTGGACTAGTCATTAGTATTCTAGCATTCTGCTTTGCTATCTCGTACTTCATGAAAGGGGTCAGTCCCGGTCAGGTCAGGACTTGTACCTAAATCTTCCACTGCGCTATAAAACACCATTTTGTATGTATCAGGATGCACACTGCTTGTTGAGATTCTACTTGCACTGCGTTGTCCATTCAGTCCTTTTCATCACATTGCGGATCCTTGGTTTATATGTACATTGCCCAACTGGGCATGTAACAGTTGGTATCGGAACACCGCACGTGAATCAGGACAACCTGATCTGACATGTGTGCGGGGACAAGGTAGCTGATTAGTCGTGATTAATCGATTAGAGCACACTGCAAGGAAGGTGAGCAATAGCGAACTTCAGCAATCAAACAGCATCATACATATGAGTCCAGATAGTCTTGACCTCGAACCAACAGCAGAATTACATCACGAGATTCACCAAATAAGAACACACGGAGAGTTCATAATTGACAATGCTGAAATAGTCCCATCATCATCGTTAACGAAGAACCAGAGTTGATATCCTATCTGGCGCTCGGCGCCCAGACTACATGTGGCAGATCCTATCTAGCCTATATTACAATGCCGAAGTTGACGTCAACAGCTTTCCCGAAGTACGAGCATATGGCGACCAATGTCGCACGCTTCCAGCACCAGGTATGTCTCTCGCCACATTCACAACCTCGTTCCCCAACACAGATGCCACTAGCACCCAAGGACCACCCTGCGCTACACCCAGCTCACAGCGGCGCAGCTCGGCTATGTCTGCCCGATCCTTCCTGCTCGCCCGTGAGAGCGTGAGTGCCAGCCAGCAAATAGCGCAGCATGCAGCCAACACCCGAATGCCGAATGAGGGGGCAGGCCCTTTGCTATATCGAAGTGGCCTGCCTGCGTCCAGTCCCAGGAAGCTTCCAGTAGGCCCCGGTAGCCTGAGGCCCAGTACACGCGAGAACAGGCCCTGGGCCTGAGGTGGTTGCATGTGCCCAACTGCCTGTGGCCTGTGTTTGGCCCGGTACCCGTATCCAGCCCAGGGCCTGCTTTCCATTCATTCACACAGGCGGCCCAGGGCCTGGGTTTCTTCAACCAACTGGCGTTGTGCAACTGCCTGAATTTCCTTAGTTGCGCAGTAGCCGAAAAAGGGCCCCGAGGGCCTCGTCGAGCCTGCCTTCACTTAGGGCGGCCGGCTGGCTCCAAAATAGGGGCTGAATGGGGCTCATAGAGGCCTAGCCTCGCATTCCCTCCTCCTTAGCTTCAACAGTCCTCTGAGAAGCTCAGTCTTCGATCATGCGGCGCTTTCCCTTCTGCAGAGATCTCTCGTATTGGGCTACAACTTGAGGAGCGGTCTGCATGAGTTCCTCCTTCTTGAACCAACGGTCCTTCGGATCAGTGTGATGCCGGAACCGAACGCGGTACTGCAGCTTCGGTTTCGGACGACGTCCCCTGCCTGTTGGTCTTGATACCGACAGCTCTCTGTGGTCCACGATGTCATCGATGTCCACCTCTCCGTTCATGGTTGGGGGCAGCATTGAGTGTCGAGATGGAAACTGATCAGTTTTTTTAAAAGGTGTCAGTTTGGAGGGGTGAAAGACAGGGTAAGTGCGTAGGTGACAAGGTATGCGAATGACATAAGAGGGACCATCAGGTTCACTCCCCACGACATCCAGTACCTCCCATGGTCCAAAGTACTGTGGCATGAGTTTACGGGAGATCCTGTGCTCTTGTCCCAGTTCTGAGGACTTGACCCAGACTCTCTCCCCCACCTGAAACATAGATGGGCGGCAGTGTTTGTTCTCAGACTCTATCATTGCCGCCTGTGCCTTGTGCATTTGTTCAACAGCCTGCTGCATCAGCTGCTCATACCGATAGGCAAATTCTAACGTCCCAGGTGCAGCAGTAGGCTGATTGTCAGGTAGTAGAAAATCTAGTCGGGGTCTGAAGGTCAGTAGCAGGCTGTTAGGACTGACTCCGGTGGTGCTGTGCACAACGTTATTGTACAAACTTGCGATGAGGGCAAGTTTCTCATCCCAGTCTACCTGATTTGGCTTAATGTAATGCCTTAGCAGGTGTTGTACAGCGCGGTTCATCTGTTCAGCCTGTCCCCTTGCCCCCGGATGATTGCCTGATGTCATTTGCAGTTGCGTGCCTTGCTCTGCAGCTGCGGCTTTCCACAACTCGCTTGTGAATCGAACATCCCTGTCACTCACTATAGACTTAGGTAGCCCAAAGTCTCTAACCCAGTTCTCTTTGAACATCTTAATTACATGCTCAGTCTTCACTGTCTCCGGCATTGCAACTAATCTCGCAAACTTACTAAACCTATCCACAATGACATAGATGTATCGCATGCCACTCTTGCTGGTGACCAGCGTATCCATGAAGTCGATGGATAAACTTTCACCGGGCCTTTGCGGAATCGGAAGGGGCTTCAGGAGCTCAAGAGGAGCCTGGGTACGCGGCTTATCTCTTTGACAGACCTGACAAGTCTCCACGTACAACTTAGCATCTTTCATCATCGTGGGCCACTAGAACTGCTGCAACAGATTGGCTGCATTCTTCTTAAAGCCAAAATGTCCGGTGGCATCATGACACTCTCCTAAAAATAAACTACGGAAAGACTCGCTATTCGGGACACACAAACGTTTATTCCCTGCCTTCTCGAGAAACAGCAAGCCGTTCACGAACTCAAACTCGGCAAAAGTCTTCTTGTCCTTTGCCTGCAGTCTTCGTATGATCTCAGACATGAAGTGGTCCTCGCGATAGGCTTCCACCATAGACTGAATAACATTGTCCTCAAGGCCAAACTCAGTGATCAGCGCGCCTGAGAAGTCAAGTCTGCGCGACAAGGCATCAGCAACCTTGTTGTACTCGCCCTTGATGTACTGGGGCTCGAAGTCATACTGCTCTATGACTTCAATCCAACGCTTGAGAGCGTCAGAGAGTATCGGCTGAGTTCTCATCCATCTCAGGGTCTGATGATCAGTCCTAAGGATGAAGAACCTCCCAAGGAGATAGTGTCTCCAATCATAGGTGGACTTTGCCAACTTCTAAGAGGGCATCTTTTTGGACATGTACTCTACTGGCCTCAACTTTTTCCCCTCTTGTTGTGCCGGTACGGCGCCTATGCCATATTGGCTAGCATCCGTAGTTACTATGAATGGCTTATCAGGATCAGGAAGTTTCAAGACTTCGTAATGCGTCAACGCATGCTTCAGGTGTTTGAAAGCAGCCTCGCATCTCTCAGTCCACTCCCATGGGGTATCAAGGCGGGTCAGATCAGTCAAAGGGGCGGCAACTATGCTGTAGTTCTCCACGAAGTTGCGATAGTAGCCGATCATCCCTAAGAATGATCTCATCTCAGTCACAGACTGAGGACGTGGCCAATCACGAATGTTGGCCACCTTCGCGTCATTGGGCTTCAACCCTTCCGCGGAGATCTCATGACCCAAGTACAAGACACGGGTGCGGCCAAATTCGCACTTCTCACCGTTGATCTTGAACTTGTGCTGTCGCAGGAGACCGAGTACTTTGCCCAAATTTGCAACATGCTCCTCGACAGTCTTACTAAAAATAAGTATGTCATCGAGGTACACGATGACAAACTTATCCAAGTAGTCATAGAATATCTGATTCATAGCGTGCTGAAAGGTGCCAGGAGCATTGCAAAAGCCGAAAGGCATCACCACAAACCCGTACAGACCGTACCTGGTCCAAAAGCGGTTTTGTGTTGATCCTCGGGCCGGATTGCAATCTGGTGGTACCCGGACTTCAGATCTATCTTACTGAAGTACCGGCACCCTTGCACTCTATCTAGCAAATCGTCGATGCGCGGCAGGGGCTCTCTGTTCTTAACAGTGATGGCATTGAGGCCCCTATAGTCAATGCACATCCTAAGTGTACCCCCCTCCTTCTTAGGTATGAATAGTACTGGAGATCCATAAGGAGAGACACTCCTTGAGCTGTCGGCGAAGCTCATCGAGCTCGCCTGGGGACATCCGATAGATCCTACCCTTCGGGATGCTAGACCCTGGGATAATCTCTATCGCGTGGACGACCTCCCTCTCTACAACCCCTGTCGACTCTTCAAATAGATCAGGGTACTTGGCAACTACTCCCTCTATCTCCGATGGCATTTTCACCGGCTCGCCTGCAGCAGAGACATAAACTAGATACATACCCTCCTCCTGATTTTGATTATAATAATTGTAGAACGCAGCCACACACATGCACCCGTGAGACTGAATCAGACTACTAGCTTTGAACTTACGTAATCTGGCGGTCCCTCCACCTGGCAGAGTGTGTTTGACCACTTTTCGGTCCCAGTCAAACTGGGGTTGTGCAACCGAGAGGTAGTACATACCTAACAAGATGTCCATGGGGAGATCATCGCTCACCAGGAATGAGACACGATGCCTCAATTCCCCTCCCGCGTACGGGAATAGGCACTCAACGTCCTGAAGGTAGTCATTAACTACCATGCTCTGTTTGTTGGCACAGGTCGACTCCATAGGTCGACTCAGGCGCTGCACTCGCCCCTGTAAGCGCAGCCTCTCAACGTACGCGCGACTAATGAAATTCCTCGTCGAGCAAGTGTCATAATAGGCCCCGGTCTTGCGACCGCCAATGACAACCTCACTAACGAACATTTCACCCTTCGGGGCTTTGACTAGGGCAGTCCAAGAAGCTAGCGGGTCGGATCTAGACCACTCCTCCTCTAGTTCCTCTAAGGATTCAAACACATTCATCGAACAAAGGGTCGATGGGTCTGAATGTGTTTGCGGGACGACGGGGGAGTCAGTAGCTTGGGCCATATCGCGAGATGGCGAGGGTGTCTCCACCACCTCGACTCTAGTAGGAGCAGCTACTATTCCTACTGGCCTAACGTGTTTCCCGGAGCAGTGCCTGATGAACTGGCAACATTGCTACCTACGGGAGCGGAGGATCCTACCGCCTGCCCCATAGTAGGCGGGATCTTCTCGGTGACCTTCTTATTCCGACATTTGAACTGGTTATGGCCGTATTGGCCACAACGGATACAGGCCTGTCGGTTCCACCGGTCTCTCCACACGTCCTCCGTGACACCCGCTTTCTCCCATGGAGGAGCATTGGCGTCAACTTGACTCCTAGATCGGGAGCCCCCCTCGGCGTCTACCGGTCCCCTCACCTTTTTGTTGAGTTACGGCAGCGACTACTCCACCCTCTGAAGTTTTGCCACTTGCCTCTGCACCTACTCCTAACTTGGGGTCATCGTCCAACTCGATGGTTGAACCATCGTTGTCGACAAACATAATGCGACCCTTCGCTTTCCAGTTGGGAGGCATTGTCTTCTTCCTGCCGTCCGTCGATGGGTTATGTCCATGCCCTATCTTAGCTTCAAGGTCTAGGGCCTTCTTGCTGAACGAGGGAAAATTGCCAACTGATTCCTGATTGGCATCGGCAAACACCTCAGGTAAGTTATCAGTAAGACTTGGGGTCATAGCGAACCCCTGGGACACAGATCAGATGCTCTGCTGCGTTTGTGGCCTCCCTAACAGACTTGAACGAACGAGTGCTCAAGGTCAGGATCGCGTCAGTGGCCTTTTGAGCCTCCTGAGGATCATGCCACCTCTCCTCCACTAACTTGAGGAAGTCATCCAGCTTTTGGTTGGCTGCGCAAGCGCGGAAGTCATGACCATATCCCTGTAGTTGCACTAACCCACTCAACCATCTTGCTGCACTCCCTTCTAGATAGACTGGCACTGACCTCGTGCCGCAAGGTCAACTTATATCTGACATAGACTGGTACTGACCTTAACGATGTGTCGAGGTCTTCGCCTCTCTTGTCCCCTGTGAAGGGTTTCGGAGCAGCGATGGCCGTCTTTGGAACCCACTGTGTTTGTCCCGGTCCCTGCACCACTTTGGGCTGTGGACCCGGTGACACAGGTTGCTGTACTAGCTGTTGGGGCTGTGTGCCCTGCGGCTGCACAGGCTGCGAGACAGCAGGCTGCGTGGTGACTGCAACCTGCGACGGAGTTTGGGTGAACACTATCTGAACAGGAACCTGCAAACTAGTCCTTGCTGATACCCCTCCTGACAGCGGCATGCCCAGGGAAACGCTCGCAACTGATGACGGGGCTACATATGGGGATACCCCTGTCACCTGTGGGACAGAAAAAGGTGGATATGCCACGGGCCAGGCACCAGGCCCGGATGGTGATGGTGCCGCCTGAGCACGCCCTGCCAGAATGGCTAGGCTTTGTTGGATATCCTGAAGGATGGTAGTCTGATGCTCCTGCATCTCTATTACTCCTAGCAGGGCCCTCCTAACTACCTTCACATCATCATCCATGTCCGTCAGGTCCATCGTCTCTAACTCCTCTATGTCTGCCCCTCTTCGCTGCATCCTGGCTCTTCTTCTAATCATCTTCTCCTTCTCCGCTTTTATCTGTCCTAATGCCTGCTGTAACTGTGCCTCCTGCAGGGCTGCCTGCTGGATGGCGACATCCTCTGGGGTTAACACTACTGCCTGGCTTGCCATAACGCCTGTGGATTGACTCACGGTCTGCGCGACCGTTGACCCGACGATACCTGAACTGTTGGCCTGGGAAGTCTGCTGTGCAGAAGTGACCATAGCAGAAGTGGCCATGGCTGCTGTAGCAGCGGCCTCGCTAGTGAAAGCCCTGCTGACCTCGGCCGCTCTAGCTCTCCTCTGCTGCTGCTGCCTCTCCCTGAGCTGACGGAACACAATCCTATCACCCTCCGGTCCTAAGGACACGTGGGCTATCGGGCGTCTAGCTGATTGCAAGATCCGGTCGTCCGGTGGTGTGTCCTCCCTGTCGCTCATATGCTACAGCACTGTGCACCGTCTACACTAGGTCACTCAAGATGCCTACCGCAACAGAGTGCACAGACCAATTTAAAGCAAATAAATAATTAATTGGTGGCTATTCCGGAGCAGATACATTTGGGTTCTAACAGGTAAGTCCAGATTCCTACAAATGAAACTATTTTTAGTTTGATTAGTCCGCAAACAGAAACACTAGGAACAATAAATAAACAGTTCTAACTAATGCTGTCTGTCAGATGTCAATGGCTGTACACCTAACTAGTCAAAACATAAAAATAATGTCATTTGCATGGGTCTGTTCACAGCATGGTATCTTACACGAACTTATCACCTGAAATCTACCCTTTCCCCAATCCCACTTGATTGTCACTTGACGTCAGCGTCCCTGAGTGATCCAGTAGCGTGCGTGACTAAAGGTGTGCACACGGCCCACCCCTGTGCCCCGACTAGCTGCTGAGCTGGCCAGCCCTGCACCTTCTTTATCCTCGCGTGCAGCGAGCCTTACACCACTGGCTGATCAAGAGGCATTTTAACGTCCGCCCCCAAGTGACATCAGGAATTATTTTACATCGCAGCAGATCGACGATCACAGCCAGTGGTCTCCCCAACCCGTGTTTATTTATAGACGCCAGGTGCTCGTCTCTCCCGTAGGGCTGGCCTGCCCCTTTAGTACCCCTCTATGAGAGCAGCATGGCAGACAAGGACAAAGCAGCAAAGCATGCGTGCTCTACTCCCGGTGGTTGGCATGGTGACCGTGACCCAGTGCTCCGTCCAGGGCCCTTCAGAAAGCACCGCCCTCTCCTTCCAGATGCTCCACGGGAAGTATGCCGACTCTCAAGGTTGAGCGCACACGACACCTCACATGAGAGGACTCTCAAGATGGGACACACAACCTCACGGTAAGAAGTGTCGAAGAGGGTACATAAGGTTAAGAGCAACGTACCTCAATATAGCTGCCCCCAACCACAGATATTCTCACCAGATGACCTGATGGAGATTGTGATGACCAGTCACTGCATCGGCACAACCAGCATTATCTCGCCGTTCCACCTCAGCGTCAATCAACCACCAGATAGTTCTCATCACACTGTAAACACCCAATATCCAGGCGATACCCCTCACCTCCTGGGTCGCCTACCACTCGTCTCCATCCTCCTCACTACACACCACTTACGGCCAAACTCGTCAAGCAGACCGCATGTATGTACCGTACCAGGCAGAAGACAAGTGCCAGATGAGCGCAATCGAACCACAGCTCTGATACCAAATTGCAAGGAAGGTGAGCAATAGCAAACTTCAGCAATCAAACAGCATCATACATATGAGTCCAGATAGTCTTGACCTCGAACCAACAGCAGAATTGCATCATGAGATTCACCAAATAAGAACACACCAAGAGTTCATAATTGACAAAGCTGAAATAGTCCCATCATCATCATCAACAAAGAACCAGAGTTGATATCCTATCTGGCACGCGGCGCCCGGACTACATGTGGCAGATCCTATCTAGCCTATACTACAATGCCGAAGTTGACGTCAACAGCTTTCCCGAAGTACGAGCATATGGCGACCAAGTCGCACGGTTCCAGCACCAGGTATGTCTCTCGCCACACTCACAACCTCGTTCCCCAACACACAGATGGACCACCCTGCGCTACACCCAGCTCACAGCGGAGCAGCTCGGCTATGGCTGCCCGCTCCTTCCTGCTCGCCCGTGAGAGCGTGAGTGCCAGCCAGCAAATAGCGCAGCAGCGCTTGCGCAGCATGCAGCCAGCACCCGAATGCCGAATGAGGGGGCAGGCCCTTTGCTATATCGAAGTGGCCTGCCTGCGTCCAGTGCCAGGAAGCTTCCAGTAGGCCCCGGTAGCCTGAGGCCCAGTACACGCGAGAACAGGCCCTGGGCCGGAGGTGGTTGCATGTGCCCAACTGCCTGTGGCCTGTGTTTGGCCCGGTACCCGTATCCAGCCCAGGCCCTGCTTTCCATTCATTCACACAGGTGGCCCAGGGCCTGGGTTTCTTCAACCAACTGGCGCTGTGCAACTGCCTGAATTTCCTTAGTTGCGCAGTAGCCGAAAAAGGGCCCTGAGGGCCTCGTCGAGCCTGCCTTCACTTAGGGCGGCCGACTGGCTCCAAAATAGGGGCTGAATGGGGCTCATAGAGGCCTAGCCTCGCAACACTAGTTAGCCCCCCAAATCGCGATTTTGACCTCACTGCCGAAAATCAAAGTTTTTCTGAGTGGGTATGCGGGCCGCCCGGGTGACCGGCAGGGGCCCGGGGGAGGTCCCGGGCGGTCTGGCCGGGCAGGGCACCCGGTTGGGGGCCGGCCCCCCCCCAGCGCACTCACCTGTCGGGGGATTTCAGACCCCCTTT